ACACACACACACACACACACACACACACACACACGCACGCACACACACACACACATATATATATATAGAGAGAGAGAGAGTATATACAGGGTTGTTGAAAAAACAATAAGTAAATTTCGAAAATTTAATGAAAACAAAGAGAGACATAAAAATTGTTCAAAGTTATTAAATTAAATTAAATCAAACATTTTTCAATCTTGTTTTCCTGGGGGGGGTCAGATTTTAAAAAAATGAAATTGTAATAATTTGTGTCCATGTTTAAAATGGCCATGCCACAAGAAATGTTTCTTTGTAAACTGCAATTTGCGAAGTTTAACTTTAAAATTCTTTGAACCATTACCTATCCAATAATAATGTTTAGAATGTGTTTTCCTCTCTTAGAATTTGCTTTTATAAATTTTTCCAAATCCATTCCTTCTTTTGGAATAACCCTGTACAAGCGATTATCCCAATATTCTTATTCAGTACATAATCAGTGTGCATTCATGTTGTCTTTAAACAAAACATTTAATCGATAATCGATTGTCTTTTTCGATTTTGTCTGATCAAATATGACCGGAAGAGTATACCGCGAGCTTCATTTCTTTCTACTGCGTGCCCGTCACTTCCGCCTGGACCAATGTCTCTGCGAATTAAACAAATGTCCCTGACGAATGGACCTGGTCACTGTACCTGGCCAGACAGTGGACGCGTACCGATAGTTGAGAAGGTGATTTGAAAATGGATTACAGGTAGACGTTGCGAGACGTGAAAGATTGAGTCAAGCCGGGGAAACGACCGGGGATTGTAGTTCTCTGTTCCGAATGGAGGTGGTTGGCGGCTAGGAGACGTTGGCTGGTAGAGTTTTGATTTTATTCTGAGGAATATGGCTAAATAACTTTTTGTTCTACAAACGCACGCATGCGCACAAACATATGTATGGGTGAGTGGGTAAAAAATGATAGCTCAATAGACAGAACGGACATCAAAATTTAATGTTGAGTATCCCTGTATCAATACTGTTTGGATGTACATTTTTGTTTATATATATATATATATATATATATATATATATATATATATATATAAAGTATGTGATGCAGTTCAATTTACATTACATGAATCATTCATGCATAAAACAAATATAGAAGTTAATGATATAAATGGCGTGAATACATCTTTGCTAACAAATTTAATAAAGTACATTAACCCCGAACGTGTAGATGAATGTTATGATCCCTGTTTATAAATTCCAGTTTCATAAGGTCTTTTTTAGTTTTTTACAAGCTTTCGTCTGTTCCTACAGACATCATCAGGTATGGAAATAGATTTGTTTTTTGTTTTTTACTTCTCGGACAACGAAAGAATAGATGTAATCCGAAATATGTTTTTAGAAATGTGTTTTTGTTAATTGTAAGAAATTTTTTTGTGGGGTGGGGCGTGGGGTCTCAACGCTGAGGTTGGATTTTTAAATTTTAAGATTGTGTGTTTTTTGTACTAATATGGTAATAGGAGAATTCTTTTGTACTGGTAGGTTTCCATACCTGATGATGTCTGCATGAACAGATGAAAAGCTTGTAAAAAAACTAAAAAAAAAAGACCTTATGCAACTGGAATTTATAAACAGGGATCATAACATTCATATGACTCACTAGTGATCACGCCAAACCAGAGTAGGACTACCTCCTCGGGGTACTTTATGTAGGCCTCCATGTTGGGGCTGAAGCCCTAGCAAACAAATTCGGAAGTTCTTTTCTAATTAGAATGAACAGAGTGAGTTTTCCGATCTGTGATACCTTCGTAATCACAATTAGACTCATCCAACTCTTTTTGAATTTTCTGTATTGTCCTCAACTTGACACCCAAACACTCTGAAATGTTCGTATTGAAGCTTCCAGTGCGAATGCCAAGCAAATTTCTGGTGGAGAGAATTGAGCCATGGCGCTCTTTTTCTCACAGATGACCCTACTATTGAGTGCCGTCGTCAAAATCACAAACAACGCGCATGCGCGAAATTAAAAGTATAATATGGCGACAATTTACCCATCGCACCCTGAAATCTGACTCTAATGTGGCTACTTGCCATATTTATATGTGGGAGAAGTCAATTTTCACAGTAGAATGGAAGAGCAGAAAGCCCAGAGAGTCCTACTACAACAACAATATATATATATATATATATATATATATATATATATATATATATATATATATATATGTGGGGTAATAATATATATAAATTTCTATATATCAGAACAATCATCGGCAAGGTTGAACAATTCTGTCTAACGTGCTTCGTCTTCTACATGGACTTCATCAGACTAATGTAATGCTTTTGTTAGTGGAATGTCATATGTGCAGGAAGAAGAGGAGGGAGATATAACATAAAATTGGTTACATCTACTTCTCAAACAAAAAATGACTTAATTAAAACAAAATAATAATAAGCCACAACCTGAAGGAGGAATTTACCCTGTCACCTGTGATGATTGTCATAATGAATACATAGGAGAAACCTCGA